TTTGCTTTTGCTCGACACTCAAAGTAATGGAATTATTCCTGAATTATCCCCTTGGTTGTTTCTTATTAGGCTTGCTTCAACACTTTTCCATTTTGTTTAAGCCAGAACAGTCAAAAATACGAATTCACGGCAAAAGTGCGATACCGTAGAATTCCGAAAGTAACGCCTCCCTCCCTCCCCCCAAAAACAACAGCTCCCCGAAAGTAACGTTTTTTACCTTCCTATTGAAGCCCGAAATTAACGGCCTACCCGATAGTAGCAGCCCTTTAAAGAAGTCACTAAAAGAGACCCATCCTGATCTCAAACACAATGCGGATGGAGGAGCCTGACTACAGGACTGAACAACTTGAAGAGTTATTTGTGATTCAATTTCGAACTTAAGGTGGCTCGTACCAGTTATCAGGTTTTTGATGGCTCTTAACTTTGTAAAAATAGAACAAAAAGGCAGACCAGGGCCACCGCAATATTTTTGTAGGTTTGGATTATATAATTTATACNAAAAATACGAATTCACGGCAAAAGTGGGATACCGTAGAATTCCGAAAGTAACGCCTCCCTCCCTCCCCCCGAAAACAACGGCTCCCCGAAAGTAACGTTTTTTACCTTCCTATTGAGGCCCGAAATCAACGGCCTACCCGATAGTAGCAGCCCTTTAAAGAAGTCACTAAAAGAGAACCATCCTAATCTCAAACACAATGCGGATGGAGGAGCCTGACTACAGGACTGAACAACTGGAAGAGTTATTTGTGATTCAATTTCGAACTTAAGGTGGCTCGTTCCAGTTATCAGGTTTTTGATGGCTCTTAACTTTGTAAGAATAGAACAAAAAGGCAGACCAGGGCCACCGCAATATTTTTGTAGGTTTGGATTATATAATTTATACTTGACCTAAACCAGCTGTTATTTTGTCGTCAGCAGTTACCATGGCAACATTCCAAAAGGATTTTTCAGACCTGATTTTTCGCTTATGTCACTAATAACTAAAAAATTAACCCACTGACCCCGAGTTTTTTTTTAATCAGTAACTTTTGGCATCAGAAAATGAAA